ATATGTATATACACACACATACACACGGAGACATATGTACGAACCCACAGGCCAGCTCCAGAAGCTCCAGGGTTCGGCTGTGGGCCAGCCCCAGAACCCCGAGGTGCAACAACCCGGCATTCCCAAAAACCCAGAAACCCAAGCCCTGAGCCGTAGGGTTTAGGGTTTAGGGCTGAGGGTTTAGGGATACCCTGAACCCCAAAAGCCCTACGCCCTAAACCCTGAACCCTCGGAGAGATGTGTCAAAGGGAGGGCAAGCAGTTTTAAAACAAAATCCCTAAACCCCGGAAAGCCCGGAAAGGGAACCTTCACTCACGTCCATGGAGTCGAAGGTCCTGGTGCTGATGAGGCGGTGGGAGAGCGGCCGAGAGGTGAACCAGAGCATGCCGGAGCCCGCTGCACCTCCGGAAAGGGGGATTAAAGTTGGGGTTTGGGGATTTTGGGGGGTTTAGGATCGGGTCGGAGGCTGTTCGGGCTTCTTGGGGGTGTAGAATAGGACTTTGGGATGAGTCGAGGGTGCGGAGTTGCTGGGGTTTGATAGCTTCCGCTGGTGTGTTGGCTCACAAAGTACGACGTACCTCCAGTTGTCCGCTTCCGATGGAGAGACGAGCTGAAACAACCCATGCAGTGCCTGAAACCGATCCAGTCTTATAAGCCCGCTCCCAAAACCAGCTTCAAACCCCGCGTATCGAACAAAATCAACAACACCTCGGGCCCCATGGGCTTAATGGCTCTGCAGGAGCCGTTGGTGAACTTCTTCGCTGCTTTCAAGCCTTCCTACGAAGAGACCCAGGCCCCCCGGCAAAAAAAAAAACATTTAACTCGTCAGGTGCCTTTGGGGCTCATTTGCGGTGGATACCTCGAGGGATGCCAAAGCAGATCCCACGCCACTGCAATCACACCTACATATGTAAAGGTACATGTCTGTATGCCCTGAGTGTTGTCACGCTGTCGTTCGTGCTGTCGTAGGCAGTTAGGATGAGGCGGCGTGGGGGATGAGGACGATCAGTGTGGATGTGAAGATGATGGAGAGGAAGAAGAAGACGATGATGATGATGATGATGGTCGTGGTAAGTACCAGTGCCAGCCGCACAACCCTACGGTTTTGCCGGACTCGTCAACATTACCACGTGCACGTGTTCGATTGTTGCGGTTGTTCCATCAATTTCTCTCGACACCCCTGTCCTTAGCCACTCAAGCCTTTCCCCTGAAGCTACACTCACGCCAGCACTGTCGCGTGCCAACAAAAAGCATGGCAGACATCTACATGTCGAGGATTACGGGCCTGAAGCAGATAACTCCCCGGGCATCTTGTTATTACCAAGTTTTTCTGTCAGGCACGGGAGCTGTCCATGCTTTGGATCACCCGTGCTTGGCACGGACAGCTGATCCAGCAGCAGGGGGTTCAGAGCCTCATCGCAGACATCAGCCGCCACTACGAGGAGAGGGCTGGGGCTTAGGGTGCCTGGAAGCTCCGGATGTGCAGGGAGATAAGCGTTGTAGGACTTGGGCTCTTTTCGTGGGTTTCCGGCGAATAAGTCCAAGGCCAGGTTTGTTTTTTCCATTGTTGCTGAGCCCAATGCCCCCCCCCCCCTCCAAACAAAAAAAAATTGCCGGTGCCCTGAATACTGTGACCCCCCCGTGCGTCCCATACCGCCCCTGCACTTCGGGTTTAGGGCTTAGGGTTTAGGGACCCGAAGCCCGGAAGTGCCCACCCGACAGGCGGCAGAGTATTTCTGGGAGCACAAGGCGAAGACGGGCGGGGGCTGGGCCTGGGAGTGATATTGCTGCTATCCGTCTTATCGTTTTCCTTTCCCACTGGTATTCTTAGCATCGTCATGCCATTGGCGTTTTGTTTAAATAATTCTTTTTGTGACAGTGATCCCATCTCTGCCATGGTTGATTTGCTGCTTCTGTGTCACTGTGAAGTATTCTCGAGTTTTGGGCTTTGATCTCATATGGCTCAGACGTCTCTTTCTCTATATCACCCTTGATTGCCATGAAGAACTGCATCATCGGAATAGCCCGCGCAATCGTACCTCCTTGCACCTAAACCTTGAACCCGACAGAGGTACTGTAGCTTGCCTACTCATGCATTCCAGAGCGTAGCCTAGGTCGCTGCAGTATAAGAAGGCCATGAACAAAAACAGCAACACACTCTCTTTGTCTTGAGGTGAAGGAAGCACTGGACCGTGCCGAAGATGCCCAGCGAAAGTTGGAGGAGGCGGTGAAGAAGGAGCTGCAGAAAACCTGTTTCGGGCGTGATGGAGCAGGGGAGGTTTTGGAGAGGAAGTCTAGGATTTCGACCACAGTTGCGTAGCTCGGTAGCGCGAACAGGAAATTGCCGTCAACGTCAGCATCAATAGTTGTGACAGGAACAGCAGTGTTGACAAGTCGTAGCGATCATGATCGCCTATCTGGTCGTCGTGCTAAGCAGAACTAGTGCGGTCAAGACTATAGCTCCAACAAATCAAGGCACTTGATGAGCTTGTCCATCTGCGCCATAGGTCGAAGGCCTAAGGCCAGTGTCCATCTAGAACGAAGGAGCAGATCCGCGTGCTTCTGTGTAATTCCGTCAGCGACCTTGCACCCTGGCTGCATGTTTCCATTGGGGGGAGGCTTAGGGTTTGCGATTTTAGGGTTAAGGGCGTAGGGTTTAGGGGTTTAGGGTTTAGGGCATGCGATTATAGACCAAGTTTGGGGTCTGAGCGTATCCGCTCGATCGTATGCTCATCGCACTGCGAAGGGTCATTGTTCGGCTTGCCCAACATCGAGGTCTGAGTGGCTCGTGGTAACATTCCCTCATGTTCCATGAATACCTATACTAAAGTGGTTAGCTAGTCATTCAAACCTCAAAACACCCCTTACAGCAAGCCTTATAGAAAGCTTAACGGAAGCCGTTTAAAGGAACCCCATAAGGGGCCCTTTATTATGGGTTTTTGGGTTTAGGACTCAGGCGCCGCGTGGGTTCCACACACTTAAACATAAGAAAAGAACCCAAGCCCTCAGCGCAAAGGAATTTGTGAAGTCCAAGCTGCGACCAGAGAACTTGATGCTCAAGGAGGACTGCCGAGCAAAGATGCGATTGTTCTTGCAGCTTTGTGCTCTTCAATAGAATTCTCCACAATTTACAAAGGCTTTCCCGAACCTCCGAACTGTTGTGTCGTGCGCACCAGAGCTTACGAAGCTTTGTGCGCCAACTGCTTCGGTTGCTTGCCAGGCGACGTGAATTTGAAGTGTATTGGTTTCAAGATCATGAGAAGAACCTAGATAGGGTAGGCTGATCAAGAAATTTCTATAACCTTAGCTCTAAACCCCCCTACAGTCCGGAGCCCCAAACCTCTAAACTTTCCACCCGGAGAGCCCTAACTCTACATCAGACTTTAAAGCCTCGGAAGCCCGTGGAGAAAGGACTGCAAGATCGGAATCTCCAATGTCCCCAAGGGGAAGTGCTTGATCTGGAGCCAGGGAGCCGTCGCGGAGCACTTCAAGCCCCCTGGCTTTTAAGGGCCTGGGGCTTGGGTTAGGGGTTTAGGGTTTAGGGTTTAGGGTTTAGCGGGAACTCATGAGTTTAGTATGCACTCTGGGTAGGATGGAAAAGGTGAGACAGCACCATGCGGTTTGTGGCATCTTTGCAGTGAGAGTCTCTTTGCAGGGCCCTGAGCTGAACGTCATATCCAATTGAACTTTGTATACTCCGGTTCAACTAAGCCTGTTTGAAACCCTACACCGTGTGAACCCTAAACTCCTAACTCGACACCAATCTTAAACCCTAAACTCCTAAACCCGACACCCGACAAGCCGAATGGAAGCCTGGAGGGGAGAGTGAAGTTCAAGAGCCCTCTACATGGGAGTTTCCGAGAATAAGGGGTACCTTCTTTTGGAGTCCTTCTAGTAAGGATCCTACTATTTAGGGTACTATATTAGGGTCGTTGGGGGTACCTTCTTTTGGAGTCCTT